CCTGTTCACCCTTACAGCTATTAGAGGACTTGCCCCCTTCCCCCCTTACCCCCCCCCTTGGCTTCTTATACAGTTTGGGATAAACTACAAGGATCTCCTGTTCACCCTTACAGCTATTAGAGGACTTGCCCCCTTCCCCCCTTACCCCCCCCCTTGGCTTCCTATACAGTTTGGGATAAACTACAAGGATCTCCTGTTCACCCTTACAGCTATTAGAGGACTTGCCCCCTTCCCACCTTACCCCCCCCCTTGGCTTCTTATACAGTTTGGGATAAACTACAAGGATCTCCTGTTCACCCTTACAGCTATTAGAGGACTTGTCCCCTTCCCACCTTACTGACTTGAATACTCCTTATACCCCAGCTTGATCTCTCAGGTCTGTTGATCTGTTTTTGTTGACCAACAGAAAGTCTAGGTTAAAACAGAGAGCTGACCGGGCCTTTTCTGTCCTGGGCCCTAAACTGTGGAATAGCTTACCCCTCAATGTTAGAATGGCACCTACACTGCCTGTTTTAAAATCTCGTCTACAAACACACCTATTCCTTAGCTTTTAATTCAGTTTGAGAGTTGTTTGATTACCAATTGTCACAGTTTTTAAGTATCTTATTGTTTCTATTCATTTAGTTGTTTCTTGTCTTATAAATTCCTTGTTACATTGTTTTGTCTTTTGCTGTTGTTTTTATTGGCTTATTGTCTGTACTGCACTTTGGGTTCAACTCCTGTTGTGAAAAAGTGCTAAGTAAACAAACATGACTTGCCTTGAGTGTCGGTAAAGTACAATTCATATCAAACTGGATGTGACATGGAACGGTACCGGATCCAGTCAAGGAGTTAAACCGGAGGTGACATTATGTGCTAAATCTGCCCCAGTGCTGACACACAGCTGGGCCGGAGCTGGAAAGCGAATCCATGCCATTTGGGCTGTTGTGCCAAAAGACACCGATCTGGATCCGTTTGCCGGATCCGGGCCAGAAAATATGGTACATTCAGCCAGGATCTGGGTCAGATACTGTTTTTGTGTTGGGGAATAGTATTCCTTTGGCATAACTTTTTAATCATTTTGTTATTAATTAAAGGTAGAATTAATAACATAATTAAGAACAGAACTCCAATTAACAATTATAGCATAATAATGTGCATTTGAACATATTGCTGTACTAATGTACAATTTAAAACAATGCTTATGTATAATTTATGTATGTCTGAGCAAAATCGGTATGTGAGCTTGACATTTCAGTGATTGAATGTTGTCTTGTTTTGTACAAATACATCTTCTGTGGCTCTGAACGTGCCGCCACAGGCCAATCCAAGAAGTCACACTACAATACGAGACACTTGGGGCAAAGTCACGAGACACTGCCTTTATGTGCGTGACACTGGCATGGAAAAAATAACAGTACAGTACAATACCAAGAACATAAAGATCATACTTGTGATCATGGGAAGACCGGTCTTACTAACTCCCAAGAACAAACTTGGGACGCAGTGAATCATGGGATTTGTCTCATTTGGCAAGGATGCAACTGATGCATCAGTGACCTATATTTACTAGACTTGCTATCATGTGACTCCAGGTGCAACAATTTTATTGCCATATCAGAGAAGCTGAAGCAATCCTTCATACTCCAGTGATATAACCTTCCACCAGTTGGTGTTTATTGATCATTGTATATTTTTGTATTGACAGTCGTGTGATAGACATTTGCAAACATACATGTTGCACTCTTCGTAATAGCACTGGGTGGTATGACCACTGTATGATGTGTTTTTAATATACCGCCATACCGTAACATAGCGCATACGACAGCTGTGATCGTGTGTATAATATAATACAAATATTTCAAATGAGCAGTTACCCAACATTTGACTCATCATGGTTATGTCACATGCACCATAGTGGTAGTATTTTTCAGTGTTTGTGTTTGGGAATTTGCAGTAACATTCAGGATTTTAGTTTGAAGGGATTAAAGATATCAGCCTGTGTTTAGGCTATTGTGGAAATACCTGTTGCCATGTTTATGATACCAAATGAGAACTTTTACTTTTTTTTAAAAAAACAGCCGATACTTTTACATCAGTATGGGCCCTAATTTTTGGTTATTTTTCTAAACTAATGTCCAGTGATGTTTAAATCATATTCCAGATATAAACTAATTATAACCGTAGTTGGTCTCATTTGTATGAAATCTGTAAGAAAATTGTGTGTCACCTATATTGTTTTCCATACAAATAATCGATGGAGCGACTTCTTCAAGATGACATCACGTTCGTCACCGATTGGCCAAAATGCATTTCATTGGATGCATCCATGATATTTGGGATGATGCAAGAACGACATCCAGAGACTTTTACTGTCCTCTGTACTTCTGGTCTTGAATACTGGAACTAGTCTTCGGCAATGAAAGATGACATAAAATGGATACATGAGAACACGAGAACAGTCAAGTACGCATTTTGAGAAACAGCCTGGCTGTATCCAAATTCAGGAGCAGAAGAGCGCAATACACTTTGTGCCATAAGCGTTGCTGCTGCATACATGGGAGAGTGAAGTACGGATTGGTCTTTAAACCTGTGGATTTGTGTAATATGCTCAAAAGCAAAAATTCCTTTCATGTCAGGACTGCTTTTGTTCAGAGTGTGGAAATTGCCAACATTCCGTTATTTTTAATTAAATATGCACCCTGTCAATCATCATATCAAGTTGCCTGTTTTCAGCCCTTTGAAACATTTAAATGCCGAATGGTAGGCCCCGTACTTAACTGTGTTTCCTTATGATGTGTTTTTTTTTTTTTAGGAGGTTCTGCACTACGTGTTGGGCTCTTTCCTCGTCTTCATCGCCTCCATAGTGGTAGCCGTGCAGGGTTCTGCGTACTCGTCTTTCGTCGCTGGTTCAGTGAGTCTATTTCCCTCATTTTATGAATCTGTTTGTTGTGTTAATATTGACAAGTACACAGGAGGCCGTGTACAGCTCACAGTTCCAGAGGGGGTGAATACCAAGAACTAGGAACTGCATTGGCCTGGTGATTTCTCATGCTGAATAAATAAAAAGTACATATTTAGGCTGACTACATAATCCATGTCAGGGAGACACTTTGAGCTATTTCAGGTTTTACAAAATACATTAAAACTAAAAAGCTCCTGTGCTTGGCTAAATTGTTCACTTCTGACTGATTTGTTTCCATGATTGAAAGAATGTTTCACATTAACATTAGTGACACGTGCATGATTACATGAGACTGACCAATCAGCACACAGCAAGAACTCGGTACTCAAGTGAAATCCAGGTCCATTTTAAAGGTGCCATAGAATGAACATCTGACTTTACCTTAGCATAGCTGAAAAAGGAGAGCTTGATAGATGGAAACGATATACTGTGAATCTCGAACACTGTTTCTGATGTCGGGTACATTTTCACAAAAGTATAGCTGCTAGAAACTGAATGGTTCCAACTATGAAAGTTGGCAAAGGGAGCTTGGGAAATGTACCCCTGGCATCGAGATTCACAGTATATTGTTTCCATCTATCAAGCTCTCCTTTTTCAGGCAGGGGGGTAGTAAACAACATTACGAAGTCTGTGACATTGACATTGACATTGACATTTATTACAATTCATTACAAACCACACATTTACAATCTGCTCAGCTTGCTGTTTGGAGTTCTTAGCTAAATATAAGACAAAATCATTTGTTGCGTGAGAGGAAAAATAATTCCTTTGTTCTCATCACAATGCTGAAAACAAAGTAGTTTCACTAATGTTGTGCCTGGGCTAAAGTGGGGCCATTTCAGTTACGTGCAGCAAATTCTTCAAGGAAACATAAAATGACAAAATTTACCACTCAGAAGCATTCATTTGCCATTGCATTGCATTACTGCAAACCAGCCAATCAGAGCAGAGCTCATGGACATATCAATGAGCTCACCAAACCAAGTTCATATACCTTGGACCAAACCAAGTTCATATACCTTCTAAAGAGACCCCAGAGAACAATTTGGGAAAGAAAAATGCATTCTACACACCTTACTTGAAATGGTTGTTTACAAATCCTGTCCTAGCTCAAAGTGTCTTCCCTGACATGGATGATCTGGTCACCCTGTAAATATCACAGTGTACACAAGGATGTCATCTGCTGCCATCCTCCTGCTTCTGTTATTATTTTTAAGGCGTTAACTGAACCACAGTCAGCTGAGCAAGATGTTTATTCCTAGAACTGATAAGACCACAGAAAAGATTAAACTTCAACCTAACTATTAAAGCTCCCGTTAATATCATTGGAAACCAAACAGAATATAAATTGCAAAAACAAAGTCGCACATATAATTTAAAAATCCAGTTTGCATACCAGTTTATTCAAGATGTATACCCAACAAGATGGAAAACGTGTAGCTCCATATTAATATGTAACGGGGTGAACATATGGGGGGGCCTGGCTCTCTACCCTGTGCTTCCTGTAAAACATCAAAATTCCTGTGAACACCCCCACCCCCAGAAGGAATGCTGTTCTCCCATCTCCAGATGAAAAAACATGCAGTAGTGTACGGAGACACAGTCTGAGAGGTAGTTTGTCGTTATCAATCAGTATCTGTGATTCTAAAGGGTATTTTTCCTGGACTATCCTGGAATATCTTGCCATTGAAGTTGTTTCCTTCATCTTCAATCTTTGTCATTTCCTCTTGTTTATGCGAAATGGTCTCTGGAGCCACCCCGGACGAAACTCTCCTCCCATTCTCTGCAGGTTTTCGGATTTATCGCTACCTTCTTGCTTGTGCTCAGCCTATGGTTGTCCTACCGAGTCACGTTTGGCCGACAGCAAACAAGTGAGTCTTGAGATCTTGTTTATGCATGCACCCTGTTGCCTAGCAACGATGACTTCATTCGAGGAAGCTGTTTGTTTCATTTTAAATGATATGACAATGAATTCCCTGTAACACTGTCCTGTTTTTATAAAATAATAACCTAGATGAATGGTTTAGTTATGAAAGAGCATTGTTTGCATTCAGACACTGATGTTTTGAAAATTAATAATTATTGAAATCTATATCTGAAACTATATCTGCTGTATAAATATGCCAGAAAGAATGGGCTAAAATTACACCTAAGTGGTCATAAAAGCTGCTCAGAAGTTACCCAAAGGGGTTGGAGGAGGTTACAAAGACACAGGGAAAACATACAAAGCATTAGACAACATTTCATAAAAGAGGATGCAAACTTTTGGGCTGATATTATTTTCATTATTTCACTATCGCTTTCTTTTTATATACTCTTTGACCATTTGTGTGACTTTTGATGTTGCAGGAAGATTCGTAAAAGTTGACCATTAAATATTGTGTTGATTTGAAGTACTTTTTTTTGTTTTACTCCTTTTGTCTTTTCAAAGTAAGGGGATGCAAACTTTTGCACTCAGCTGTCACTCACTCACTTACTCGACTTTCTGGTTTGATGTAATACATCTAGTGATTGTTTTAAAAATCTTTTGCAGCTGTAGGTGTGTAGTCCAGCTGGCTTATTTCCTCCAAGGGTGATGCGGTACCACCTTGCCTGGCAGCGTTGAGCTTCAGAAGATGAAGCGCGGATCAGTTATTCTGTCCACAGCACCCAATGCAGTATTGCAAGCACTGTGTACAGTATGACTGTTATTTGTCACGAAGCACCCTTGATTTATGTCACAGTATGTCTGAAATTACTATGCAAATGTGATCATTTTAAATATATTTTGAACACCTTGATCAAGTTGGCCAATAGCTATACATGCTGAAAGAATACTTTCGGAAGATCGGAGTTACTTCAGGCTCTTCAGAGGAACCGTAAAAACAAAAAAACAAGGAAATGGCTGTCTGGTGATATAATGCAGCCCCTGAGTTATTATATGAATGGGTAGGATTTTGAAACCGTATGCAAAATGTATATAAACAGAAATACAATTTAGAAATATTTTCGCAGCCTAGGAACAAGACCACCTTTCTTCTCAATAGACTTATTCCGTCTTTCGTCCATAGAACTTGTAAGAATGTTAGTGGTTTCTGGTGTTACAGCCAGGGCTGCCCTCTGAATGGCATCTGGCGTACCCTTGTATTGTTTGTCTTGTATTGTTTGTCAACTCTTTTTAACTTCAGTTTTCACTGGTGCTGGGAAACCTTTTCGAGCTAGGAAGCCTGTACCTCGAGAAGCATTTGAAGGGGCATCATCATGCATAAAGATGCACTTCTTCTTAAAAGCTTGGCTTTGGCACTTCTAGCATATGAAGAATATGCCTGTCAGGAGGTCACACTGCTGCCTTTCATCCCCTCATTAATTTTCAATGTCCTAACGCTTTTGTTGCTGTCAACCTCTGCGCAGATCCCACCACCTCCCTGCTGCTCTCTCAGTCTTGCACACAAGTCCCGCCCTTTGGACCCTCCCACCTGCCCCATCCTGCATCACCCATCAGTTTTTAAGCCTTTTCTGGCCCACTTTCTCCATTTCTGAATGTGTGCTTGACAGAGGGGTGGCCTACTAATCGACCAGCGATCTAAGGATTCTGCATCTCTTGTCACGTTCTACACCTGGCACACCTGCCTTGTTGAAGACTTCTAAGTTGCTCCATAAGGGATATTTAATTAGAATCTGCTTCAGTTTACATTCATCCCGGGCACTAATGCTCTTGTTTGTTCACTGTTTTGTTCCGCAATTATTGGTCTCTGTAATATCTTTGAAATTTCTGGTCTTTTACCAATGCACAATACCTAGACCATTTTCTGTTTCTCCCTGGCTGACAAAGTCCCCGTTTTGATTTGTAAATATCTGCAGTGTTATTTAACAGGTAGAAACATCAGCATTTTCCCTCTCTGTCGTTAAGGTATTTAAAAGTATTACACTTGCATAATCATTTCAGACCCACAAAGTGCCTTTGCTTGTTTACTGTAAACTTTACTTTTATTTGTTTCTCTGCAGATTTTTATATTTTATAGTAAGACATTTTCAGGTATTAAAGTTAGCCAAATTGTGGTACTGAACAAACCACATATTATTTGTATTTGATTAGTTGTTAGATAAAATTCCAGTGTCACTCATCGAAAGAAAAGAAAAAAACTATTCTACACTTTGAATGCATTTGTGAATTGCATCTTCTCATTAAAACATTTATTATCATTAATATTTGGTTCACTGTCTTGACAATATATCAAATCCATGAATGTTTATAACAAAGAAAAGGATTCTACACTAGTTACTGGTTACTGGTTACTCTGACCAACCCTCCCACAGAAAATTTCCAAAATTCCAGTTAAAATGTTGACCTAACTGTGTAAAGTTTCTGTTGTCTATGAACCATCTGGAGGTGTGAGTTCACAGTGTTTTGAAGTGCTTCACAGGGTGCATCTGCTAAAACGATTACTCCGCAGTGAAGATGGTGCATTGCCTGGAATGCACCGAACTGGGGCTCAAGCATGCATTCACCTTTAAAAGCGATACTTGTGGCAATCAATTATTGTAACGGTGCAAATGCGTACATATTTTATGTCCGTATTTCATATGCTAATTCATACTTTATTTGCGGTATAAAGGTTAAAATGCAGGGTCATTTCTTGTCATAAAATATGTACGCATTTGCGCTGTTATAACAATCGATTGCCATATGTATCACTTTTAAAGGTGAATGCATACTTGAGTATCAGTTATGTCAGTCCCTGTCATTGCATTCCTTTACATAGTGAAATGTTTATTGTACAGACATGTTTTTACTTTACATCTTGAAGGGGCGTGTGCATGTGTGCAGTGATGACAGGTTCTGCAAGGTGCTTGTCTGTCACAATGCACACACACACACCCTCGCATACACTATGTGCAGCATAGAAATGCCTGTTCTGTAATGTTTCCCAAGTTACAGGCAGTGACCACAGTTGAGTTCATCACTGGGGCCCAGAGGTGGAACGTTCAGGAGCAGAAAGTACAAATCCAGATTAAGATTTTGTTTCAGTTAGTACTCAGTGACTGTGACTCTTTATACTTAACTGGCTGGTTGAACCAAAATCTTCCTCAGAAATGTGCATCCCTTAGATCGGGGGTCACCAAGGACCACATGAGTCGCCCGCGGACCTGTTATAAAAATAGCACACCTCACCAGTGAGCAGCGTCTAAAATTTTATTTTATCCTGTTGCTAATCTTCTTTAATCACATTTGCATTTATATAGATTTGAAAATGACAATATCTAAAAAAAAAAGCATTTAAAACATGTTTATTATACATGAGGTTTAGATAAGTTTAGGAGGCCGTTTCAAACTGGTAGCCCTTCGTATGGCTCAGTACCCGTGAAGTAGCTCTCAGCTTCAAAAAGGCTGGTGACCCCTGCTATAGATAATGCTTAGATAATGCATCCTTTAGTATAAAGCCATTTGCTAAATAAATAAAATATAATTAAAGGCTCTAAAAGCACTTGAGTTATTTTACATTATATTAATTTAGCAGATGCTTTTATCCATAGTGACCACAGGATTTAAACTGGTGAAATCAAAGGCAAACAGAGGCGGATATTTCAGGTCCAGAAAGTAAAAATCCAAACTAGGATTTTGTCTCAACCGACCTATTGAGTACTCTGTGACAGTGACTCTCTATGCTCAACTGGTTGGTTGAAACAAAATCCTAGTTTGGATTTTTACTTTCTGGACCTGAAATGTCCACTTCTGCAGGCAAAGCACCCAAACCTAGTGTTTTCCAATCTAGCCCTCGGGGACCTGCAGACAGTCCATGTTTTTGTGAGCTGGGAGAGAGCGAAAATGGTGGACTGTCTGGCACGGAGCAAAAACGTGGAACGTCTATGGGTCTCTCAGGACTTATCGAGCCACACACTGTCCCCTTTACATACAGTTATGCCTCATTTAAGCATAAGATCCTTTATAGACTTTTCATTATTAGTCTTAAGGTCATTATATAAAATCTTTCGATCTCTGTTTTGCTGTGAGACGTCAGCCAGGAAGACAAGTGACGCCAAGACTCCAAATGCCTGCAAAAGGAAAACAACAGCTGACGATCACAGACATGATAATGTCGCTGAGACACGATAATGCAGACATGAGATACTAGATGTCAGATGCCATACCACAGCTCCTTGTTCTGCTGGAGTTCCTTCATTATCATAGAAAAACAAAACGGTGGCCAGAAAAACAAGACTGAAGGTTCCGGTTGTGATGAAAAAATCCTGCAAATAGAAGCTTATTAGAACTGGAGTACAGCAGACTACAGGGCAGCATCACGTTTTGGGTCAATATGTCTATAAAAGCTGAGCAATTCATTCTACTTTAAAGACACATACCAGGATAATATACCATCATTTATTTGATTTCATAGTTCATCTTGACCTTTCTAGTATTTTCCTATATCTCTGCTTTACCTGCTAGGGCAAGACAGGATTTTTCTGTTGATGAACACTGTGGCGCTTTTCCACTGGTATATAGAAACCGAGCTGTACTGTGAAGATAGACACTAGTTACAGTGCGGTTACAGTGCGGTTCCAGCCCGCTTTGGTTTTCCAGGGTCAGCTCGGTAAAGGCGTGGCTGGGCTTGGAGAGCGACAGTGATGTAAAAACAGAGAGAAACTTATTTACTGTTCACATGGTGTATGCCATGATTTACTATGTGCAATTATTATTATTATTATTATTTTTATTATTTTACTGTGTGGTAATTTCCACTAGTTCATCTGTGAGAATTGCTGTGTTATGCAAGTATCAAATGCTAGTGGAATTAGCATTCGCTTGCCTAAATTTGCAGTAGGAATCTATTGCATTCAGCTGTTCTATAGTACTTTTTTAAGCAGGAGACTGGAAATTTTCAAGTTCCACGTTATCGGGAATGCGATATACCTTTGTTTTCTTCAGATAATCCATGCACAGAACTGGTCTCCGTGCATTTTGACCAATCAGATGGTGATGATGTAACCAGCTCGGTTTGGTCATGCTTTGGGCCCTGATAGTTAGCAGGGTGCATACTTTATAATGGAAAACCACCAGTTTGTGATATGGCTTGGTTATGGCTCGGTTCTTGGTGCCAGTGGAAAATTAAACATCACAGTGTCTCATCTTGTAATACATTCCTGCCCCTGGCTCTCTGTGGAGGGAGTTTGAATGATCTCCCATCCTTTGAGACTGAATTTTCTGTCCACTTTCTAAAAATTTGTTTAGGTAAATTGGTATGTATACTATGTGAGTATGTGTGTAATCTGAGATGGGTCAGCACTGCAGCCAGTGTATCACATACTGTCTTCCTTTATTTCAGGATACAGGCTCATCACGAGCTTACACTGCATGAGCGGTTATGGAAATGGATGGATTGTATTGATTGTAAAGTTAAGCTCACCAGCTTTGGCCAGGAGGTGATGTTCAGGATCCTTGGGATATCCATGAGGGGCATTAACAGCAAAAGTAGGGGGAAGAGGACAGCTACGCAGCTGGCAAACTCGAAGAAGTAGAGCGGCAGGCAGGATGAACACGTCGGCACACACTCATCCAAAATGAAGGCTGCTAAGGACAGGAGCTGAGAAGAGAAGATGGAGCCCAGTCATGTACAGAAAATTGGTTCTGGGAGTAAAGAAATCACGAAACTGTGAAAGGTAGAAAGAAGCTTTTCCACACATTATCTGTCCTTAAATGTCTCCCCCACCCCCCACAACAGGGATTGTATTACCGACAGCTAATGACAAAAGCAACTGTAAGTGAAGGATTCAGGTTTATACACACATTATTTGTAACATTAGTGGTGTTATAAGCTCGTCAAATCCTAAGCCTGCCACATACGAGCGTGACAAACCATGTGAATGACTTGGTGGCAGAGCTGAAGACACCACAGCATGTTTTTAAATCGTCATGCAGAGACCAGTGGAAGCTTCCGGTGGGTGTCATGGCATGCACGTAGGTGGTTCACTTTTGGGCCATTTTGTCATGACACAGCCATATGGAAGACCTCAACAACAGATATGAAGTCTAAAAAGGAGGATGCCATGGATGTATGGTCAGGGTGGGTCTCCTGGCCTCCAGTGTGGGTCTCCTGACCTCCAGTGTGGGTCTCCTGACCTCCAGTGTGGGTCTCCTGACCTCCAGCCTGTAGTACAGTTATCCGCCCAGTGTGGGATGCTACACAACAGACTTGAGGCAGACCAAAAATATTTTGTAAATCTCTATGCCATTTGACATTTATTTCATGTTTATTGCTTTTGTATGTATGTATTAGTTTTATATATTGATTGTTAATGCTTTTTATCATTAGGTAGGTAGGTAGATAAGGGATTAAATTCATTTACATTATTTCTTATGGGGAAATTCGACTTGGACCTCGACCAAATCACAACTCAATCAGCCTTCTGGAAGAAATTAAGTTTGTGTGCCAAGGTACCACTGTAATATAAAAAGCTATACATGACTTAAGTCAATAAATACACATTTATTTGGGGCCTAAAATAGGGCATAACGACACCCCTGGAAAGCATGTTTTCAGCATTTTGTACGTGGTCCATGACCTGCACTGTGTGTGTGTTTGCATAGATCACATTTGAGAACCAAATTGTCCCCAAAGTGTAGTAAAACCTGAAATTTCCCTACTTTTGGAGACATCTTTTGAGGTCCCCATTTGGATAACCTCAGTTTTATAAAAAATCTGTGAATGCAGTCAAAAAAGTAAAAATGCCAAAAGTCTTGTATTTGGGTTGGTTACTTATGGTTAAGGTTAGGGATGAGTAGGGGTTAAGGGTGTCGTGATTGGGATCAGGGTTTTTCCCATAGAAATTAATGGATGGTCCCCATTTAGATAGGAAGACCAACTTGTGTGTGTGGTACTACTAGGAACCTTCCTGGATCAGGCCATCCCTCCAAACTGGATTGGAGAGAGATGAGGAACCTGGTCAGAAGGGTTACCAAGAGGCCTATGGCAACTTTGAAGCAGTTGCAGGAATTTGGTCATTGTGCGCATGTCACAAGAACATCACAAATGCTCCATAGATGTGGCTTGTATGGAAGGGTTGAAAGAAAAAAGCCAGTCTTCAAGAAACCACTCAGTCTCGACTGAGCTTTGCCAGAACACAACTTCAAGATTCTGCAGCCAAATGGAAAAGGGTGTTATAGTCAGATGAGACCAAAATCGAATTATTTGGCCAAACGTTACATCT